AGTGAGACCTAAGTACGCCTCCACGACGAAATAAGGAGAAATTCTAACAGCTTACGGAGTTTGAACGGTCTTCGAGAAGGAGGATTTTCCTATCACGCAATAGGAGCTCGTATGCAGAGGAACAGTTCCTCAGTGATGCGAGTTTGAAAGCAGTGGACCGAGGAGTACCAAACAAATCGAAAAACTGGCAGTGGATGACGGAAGGTGACGTCAGCGCGCGACGATTGACACCTGCTCCACACGGCAATGAATGACCGTACAGCTTCCTCCATGCTGTTGGCAGCATGTTGGTCTACTGCTACAGGTGTACTAATGTCAGCCTCGTCAATTCGTCGACGTCTGCTGCACCGTGGATTGCGTGCAAGGATGCCTTTATACAGGATCCCCCTCATGGCAAACCATCGACGGCTGCGACTGCAATGGGCTCATGAGCCCAGAGCCTGCCAAACTGATTGGCACCAAGTTGTCTTTTCAGATGAATTACGCTTCAATTTGGGGGATCATGATGGTCGCATTCGTGTTAGACGCTATGCCGGTGAATGCTGCCTTCCAGAGTGCGTTATCGAACGACATAGTGGCCTAACACCCGGAGTTATGGTTTGGATTTTCGGAGATTTAGTAGCATGGACCATCCAATTTGAAACGAATTGAGGGTGATCTCAATAGCAACAGGTACGTCCATGAAGTTCTACAGCCCGAAGTCGTTCCTTTCCTTCAAGGCATCCCTGGAGCTACCTTTCAGCAGGATAATGCACGCCCACATGTTGCAAAGACTGTTCGAGACTTCTGTTCAGCCCAACACATGCAACTTCTTCCTTGGCCTGCTTATTCGCCGGATATGTCACCTATTGTGTACGTGTGGGATTTGGTGGGTCAGCGTCTCGCTCGTGATCCGCGTCCTCCATATTCAAAAGACGAACTTTTGCGGCGCATACAAGCAATATAGAACTTTCTTCCGCAAGCAGATATTAGACATTCAAAATCTTTTTGACTCCATGCCACGTCATATAGCAGCACTTATTGCAACGTGTGGTGGCTACACCAAATACTGATTTCAGACACTTATAATATTGTTTATTTCCTTTAAAAATTTTGTCATTTATTTGCACTAATACAAGTCATTTGTGCATTAAATTTCATTTAATTCTGATGATTCCTTCATGGTGTTGCATTTTTTTACAAACAGCAGTTTAATTACACACTAAATAAAAAAGTAAGTTTTTCTGCATATATATGGATAAAGGTATTTCATTCTTTTTTTGGAAATGTTTGTAAATCGAAGAAGGAAAAGCAATTAAAAAATTCATTTCTTAAGTCTATTCAAAACAATAAATAAATAAAGCCCTAAAAAATGTAGTTTTAAATATATCTTTTCTGCCTTAGAAGAAAATGTCCGAAAACTAGCCACATCAATACATACAGGCTACATTCCAACACGATTCTAGAATAAAATGATCCTAGGTTTATGGGTGGCAGTGGTAGCCCGATCTGGTCAGGAACTAGCAGCCGGAGCGTTGCGGGTTCAAGTCCTGGTGCCACTGAAGACCACCCTGTAGAGCTGGCTGAGGAACGTAAAATCTGTCAATGCTCAATGTTCTTCCATTGGTGTAGTAGTTAGGAGAGAGAGATGCCAGTTTAGGTGACGTTCTCGTCACTTGATAGAGGTTCAAATTGACGAGGTCGGTCGCTGATCGTGTTGCTTTATAGTAGGACGTTAATAGAACTTTCACTCACTCACCCAGGTTTATCTTGGATACAAAGCACATATTAGGAGGGGGGAGACCAGAAACCGGTAAGTGTACGTAGGACGTGAAATTTGTCCGACACATCAAGTTTTCACAAACAAAGTGGTTGTAGGCATTAATGTAGTATGACATAACGTAAGTATTCTTGCGATACAAATCATCCCATTTTTTCCATTGATTCAAATGATTTAGGATGGAAGAAAATATTTTCAAGCCAAGATTCGTTCCAAAATACGAGAATGGCACGCGACGAAACAAAGAAATAATTCAAAAAGCTGATTCATATGCAAGAATCTGTAGAAGGAAAACACCACAGTAAAAAGAACCAAGGATTGATAGGAGATGCATGCAGTTGCATAAAAAAATATTTTCATTTGCAACAAAAACTACAACGTGTTATTTTTTTCTTTTTATGATGAATCATTTTTGAACGAAAAAAAGTGGGGTAACAATTTATTTTTCTTATACTATTACAATCCAAATCCGTTTAAAAATGATTCCATGGATACATTTTTTATAACAAAGAGTGTATATACAATTATTTTTAGAGGAATTCCTTAGTGAAATTAAATTGTATGGCTCTATATATTATATAATTAAATTTAATTCCATAACTATAAACTCTTCAAATTTTTTAACAAGGAGTCCGTGCAATTTCTTTTAGAAGAATTAATTACGCTCTCTTAAACGTGCGTAGAGGAAACTTGAACTTTAGTTACATTGAGAAAAAAAAATGTCTCGTTTCTTTACACAGTATAAAAGAGTACCATCATCATTTTTAAAAAATTTCTCTGCATTTCCTTTCATATATTTTCCACCATTAGTGTAAAAAGAATAATTTTTTTCGGGAGGGGGGGGGGGGGATGGGTTACTCTCGTGGGTTTTGTTAATGAATAAACGGAGGGTAATTCCTTAGAATTTTTTGTCAAGAAAAGAATCTTTCCGTCCATTTTAAGTGTTTTTGAAGTTCCATTCATCACTCGTGGATCGCGGGGGAAAGGAACAATTCACAACAAATGGCGCGTAGATCTTCAGTATCTGTTTTATTATTATCATTTCTCGTTGGCTTTTGTTTTATATATAGAGACTTCTTTTAGGATTCAGTTGCAAAGGGTGCATGTTATCTGGCTGAATTCCTGATTCCTCTTTTTTTCTCTGAATCTTACCTACATCGGAAGCAACCCATACATGGAAATTCTAAATCTCAGTCAATTTTGAAATAAAATCAACGCGGACCGTAAGCATTTTTTTTTTTTTTTTTTTTTTTTTTTTTTGCATTGCACTACAAATCACAGTTCCATCGATTGCATTCATTTCTTGAAAGGAAAAAGTTTAATCCTGGAGTGTTTTAGGATGTGTCAAGCTGGTAGCCTTTAATTGTATAATAGATTCAATTCCTGCTTACTTCTTTCCGAATAACAGATAAAATCGAATGTTTTATTCATTTTTTCAAAAAGCATTCCTC